TTGTCTATTATTGCCTGCAGAGTCCTAAATTTCCCCCACTCTTTTTTTTCTCCTTCACATCCAGTCTCCAAAGTGGCTGCATTTTTACTCTTCTCAAGCAGCAATGCCTTCTGAGACTGCCACATCGAATGCTGCACACTAAGTCCATATGTTGTTTGTTTTTTTTTTGTATACAGTACTCTGATCCACCCAAACTTTTCAATATTTTTGCACTTAAAATGTGCTTTCTCTGTCTGGAAGTCCTTTTTGGTTTTTAGTTCATCTTAAGTCTGCTATTCACCTACTCTAAATTTTTCTGGACTCTCCTTGCTCTCCACAAAGGCTTACTATAAAAACTTGAGACAGCTCTGCTAGAATTTGTTTTTTATTAAGTAACTTGAAGTCTGCAGTGTTATCTGTCTTATCGATATCTTGAAATCATGGTTATTTGTTCTTATTTATTAGCATGGTTTTTTGGAGGACATTGAAGAGAGATTCGGATATAGGTAACTATCACTACCTTAGGTACCCTGTAAACCTATAGTCATCTATTTTGGATCTGCTTTACCATTCATTAATTTTCCAACTTCAAAAATTATATTGCTTATTTCCTCTATTTTCTCTATCCTTGTAGGTTTATGTCTTCACTGTTGTTCTGAACTTTAATATGGAGCAAAACTAAATATAGTACTTATATTCAATCTGTTATCCTTACCGTAAAGTATATAGTCTTTTCAAAGACCTATGAAGCAAACAAAATCAACTATGGCAAATGTTAAGTGGTAAGGACTGCTTCCAGTCAATCATTATTTTATTTAGTTGAATTTAAAGTTCCAAAAATGTAGAAGTAAAATATTTAATATCTTTTAAAATACTCCAAATTAAATTCTTTTTGGATGTTAATAGAACTCATTTTCCTTTAACAAACACCGTTTCATGCTGGTTAACTTAACTGGCATACTAGCTAAAAGCAGAATGTTTCATAAATGACACATTCTCATTTCAAACCTCCATATAATTTTACTGCATAAGAGTTGTAAACCCTAATTGCAAAATGAAACTAGCTACATCATTTTTAAGGGAATAATTTGGTTTAGGCAGCAAAAGAGAAAAGAATACATACCTAATATGAACTATTGGTTTTTCATTATTGTGTATAATGGCACCTAAATATGTTCACATCCTAATCCCTGGAATTTGTGAATGTTACCTTACATGGTAAAATGAACTTTGCAGAGGTGATTAAGCTAAGGATCTCGAGATAAGGAGATAGACTGGGATTATCCATGTGGGCCCAATATAATCACAATAGGCCTGATAAGAGGAACATAGGAAGAGTCAGAGGCAAAGAAAGCAGTGGGATGATGGAAGCAGAGATTAAAGTGATATGCTGTGAAGATAGAGTAAGTGGCCATAAGCCAAGGAACACAGGCAACCACTAGAAGCTGAAAAAAATACGGAAATGGATTCCGCACCCGCGCCCCCCAAGCCTCCAGAAGAAATCAGCCTTGTTGACACCTTGATTTTAGCCCAGTAAAACTGATTTCAAAATTCTGACCTCCAGATTGTAAATTTATGTTGTTTTTAGTCATTAAATTTGTGGTAATGTACAGCAGCAACAGGAATGTACGAAATCACTGTTAAATGCAATGACGTACCCTAAAGGAAGCCAATGAGGTATCTGATGTTATGATCAACATCATCTATCAGTTAAATACTTCATAGTAAAGATAATTAGATTTTGGATATCATCTATTCACTATAAAGAAACTTATTTTGCCTCTCTTAAAAAAGGAAACTTATACACTGCTGGTGGGAATGTAAACTGGTACAGCCACTACTGAAAACAGTATGGAGGCTCCTCAAAAAATTAAGAATAAAATTACCATATGACCCAGCAATACCTCTTCTGGGTATCAACCCCCAAAATTTGAAAACATTTATCTGTAAAGACATATGTTCCCCTTATTAACTAATGTCACGCCAATAATATTTTTAAAAGATATATGCACCACGGTGTTCATAGCAGCATAATTCATGGTGACCAAGATATGGAAACAACTGAAGTACCCCTCAATAGATGATTGGATAAAGATGTGGTACATATATACAATGGAATATTACTCAGCCGTAAGAAAAGATGAAATACTGTGACAACATGATAATCTTGAGATTATCATGCTAAGCGAAATAAGTCAGAAAAAGTTGAGTCATATGGATTTCACTTATATGTGGGATATAAAACCAAAAGCAACAGACTCATGGACACAAAAAACAGTTTAGTGGTTACCCGAGGGAAGAGGGAATGGGGAGACAGACAGGGTAAAGGGGGTCAAATGTATGGTGACAGAAGGAAATTTAATGTTGGGTGGTGAGCACACAATGCAATATACATATGATATATTACTGAATTACATACTTGTAACCTACATAATTTTAATAACCAATGTCACTCCAATAAATTTAATATAAAAAAGAAAAATATGGGTAGAAGATTGCGGAATTAAATTGATTAAAATGTAAAAAATTAAAAATTAAAAATAAAAATAAAAGATTATTTCTTGCCAGGGAAGTATAGATTTCACTTTTGTGAAAGATAATCTAAGCACTAAGCTCCTTGAATGAGATTAGTCCCTTAATTTTAAAATCTGTGTTGCTTAACATGCTATATATTGTATAGTCCCCATTTAATAATTTATAATTTATTATTAACCTTTCAGTGCATTTTTATGAAGGAACTCCACACTTGCTACCCAATATTTAAACATACATAGCTAACAATCTGGATTTCCTACAATCAATGATATTCCAATTGTCCTACTTTCATTAATGTGAAACAAATTATTTATTACAATGCTATATTTTTCACTGCTGATCCTTTAACATTATTTCATTTGATCCCTAAGCCAACATTAACATTGCTATTTTACAGATGAAATAACTGGAACCAGATATCTCAGGTGTCTTATTCAAAGTTGTAGAGCCAATGGATGGTAGAAACGTAACTTGAAGCCACATACATGACCTTTCCACTATACCACATTCTATTAGAGATATGTGGCAATATCTCAAAATCTCGCTCAATACTATTGACCATAGATCAAAATTTTTATTAAATTTTCTGTTGTTTCAATATATTTAAAAAATAGTGGTGACATTAGTATTCTAAGATCTGTTGATGGTATATAAGGCAACTGTAAGAAATGAAAGAAAGGTTGTCCTCAGAAATGAGTACTGGAAATTAATATACTGTATTATGAATTAGTACATTTACATTATAATTTATTTATGTCACTCTCTTATGAACTTGTGCTAATCACAAGCTTATCTTTAGGATACTGTGGGGCCAGATCCTGAACCATGACAAATTCATCAAGGTAATACCATCTTGAGAAAGTCTGCACCTGCATAAATCTCTGTGCATGACTATGGCTCTAATTAATAATATTATTAATATAATCACTATTCATTTAATTGATATGGGAAAATCAGAGTATTTACATATAATACAACTGTTCATATTAAAATGATTTTCAGTTTTAAATAAATATAGATTATTTTCTCGAATAAAAGTTCCTCAAACTGTTATACCTCAAATAAAAGTTCCAGATGATCTACATATTCCCTCTCAGATGTAAAATTTAATGAACATTGTTTTTAGGCTGTCAATGTTCTTTTTCGACCTCTTCGACACTGTATTCAAGTATTCAGGTAAGTAAGTTCTCATGTCCTTTCCGATCTGTAAATGCCTCTGTGATGTTTCTTGAAAGTATCCTGACAAAAAAATATTAAATAAGATTCTGAAAATATTGTTGTTCTAGACTGAATTAAATCCATCTTCACTTTCTCTTTAAGCATCTTACCATATGCATATGAATGACTTGGTAAAGTATTTTCTTCTGAAAATTCATGATTTGTTAAAGGATTTGGGCTATAAATTGAAGTTGAATAATGTAAGAGGGCAGCTACTTTTAAAAAGAATTTTATATCACTAGAGCATGAATTATGGAAATTCACAATTTTTCCATAGCCTTACCCTAACCCTTCTAAACTCGGCAAAGTTACAATTGAATGGATTCAACTTCAGAAAATGCACCAAACACTATGTAGAAGTAAAGAGTTTTGCAAGAATTGAACAGGCTGTCAAAATCATTCTGAGTTCAATAGTGAAAACAGTTAAAAATTAGTAAAAGAAATTTAACAAAGTTTTAAAAAATAATTTAATCTAAGATTCTCATTAAAAGAATGATATAAGGTGAAAAAATATAAACCCCAGTATTACTGCGTAAAAAAATACATTTATTTAATGCTTGGTATTGTGTTACAAACTTATTTCACAAAAGCAAGGCAGTCTTAATTAAGCCTGAACTGACCTGGCCTGGATTCTCCTGTGACTGAGCAATTTCATCAGATGAATGAATGCAGGAAGTTTTCCAATTTAGCAAAGTGTCCTCAATTAAAGTGTAAAATACTTCATACATGGTGCTAGGCTAGAAAGAGGTTAATGTTCATTTCTGTTCTGTTATTCTGGATCTAGAGACAAAAGTACTAGCAAGGACCTTATACAGAGCTTAGGTTCTGTCTTGTTATAGATTAGGTTCTATAAACATTAACAAAAACAGAAGAATTAGGTTAACATTTAGACTGTCAAAACTTGATGATTAAAAGATTTTAATTATGAAAGGAAATAAAAGTTAAAAAAAACTAATATATGGTTTAACTACAAATGGAGATTTCTGGCTTATGATCATTTCCTGGGGGAAAAAAATGTAACCATGTTTCTGAGGTGGCTTTAAAATGAACGGCTTATTATCTGCTGTTACATGTGACAAAAACTGGTCAATTAACATAACATTTATCTTATGCACATAGGACTACAAAAGAATTTCTGCTCATATGAGAAAGAAGCAGTGATCAATTTGCTGCCTAACAAATACTGTATTCAATTCCTTGCCTACTCAAATAACTTAGCCGAGGTTAAGATGTAATAAGAATATATGAATAGAGAATTACAAGTCAGCTGAAGAAAGTAACATCACTTTTTAATTTGACTCAAACCCATTTCCATGTACAAAGCTAATTTATCATGTACAAAATAAATGTACATTTTTAAAAACCATTAGAATACAAATTTCCAAAGGACTAAAAAAAGTGCAAATTTTTCAATTATCTTCAATCATGCTATACAGAAAAAAATCAAACATTAGCTCATATACACACATTGGAAAAATTTTAAAACAGAATTCAATGTAACAAAACAAAACAAAACATATATCTTATACATTTAATTTTAAAAGGATGAGGAAGAGAAGAATGTATTGCACCAAATAGTAACTTCATTATAATGAGGACACTAATCAAAATTATTTACACATCTTTATTGAGTCTAAAACTCCCAACTTTAAAACCTTTTTGGCATACAAATATTCACTGCGTCAGTTTGCAGTCAATAATTAGATATAAATAAGGCTTAATATTCTTTTTCATGGTCACTTCCAGTATTGAAGAAGGAACGTTTATGATAACTACATAACTTTTTGAATTAAATATTTAAGTATAAGCACAATTTGCAAATTTTTTAACATGTAATTCTGAATTTTCAGCTATCCTCTAAATTGACTGTGTACATACACACACACACGCACACACACACACATGCATTCAAATTACTGTCACCCTCTGTGTTAACACTGAAATGCTCCTATTTAATCTGGGTCCTAGAAAAACTAACATAAGAGACAAATCATTTGATATTTTTCTGTCTTAATGGATTCACTTCTATAGCAATGCATTTCATAGAAAATGACTGGCTAGACCTGATTCCTTCTTGCATTTTTTTTCCTCCAAGTCTTTAAAAGCAAATAGTTGGGGAGAGGAAAGTCATACCTGTTAGGAAGAGAACAGACCAGCCATAGTTTTCTAACAATTTTTCTTACGTAAAACTAACTACAAAATAAACACTAGCCACAAAAAAAATTTGGTTATTGTACTTACAAATCAGAGAGCAATAAAAAACAGTAAGAAAAAAAGTCTAAAATGTAAAAGGTTTTTAATAGTAAGATCTACTGTAATATGCCATAATTTTGGAAGAAGTATAAATTATTTTAATTAAATAATTTGAAAGTTATCTACAAAAATCAACATCTCAAAGGAATAAATAAAATTATTCACTTTAATCCCAATATAAGAAACCAAGAGGTTGAAATTCTTTAGTTAAGTCTGGCAACTGATAATCTCCTTACCAGAACCACTTTCTAAACTGTTTATCGATTAATATAATTTTAGCATTTTGAAGAGCAAAATAATAATGTTTATCGCAGATAAGTTTCTTTCCTTCAAAATGCATGAGGAGTATCTGTTGAACTTGCAGGTTGAGCCCACTAAATCTTAAACCACATTGCACATATAAGACAGGAAAATGTTTCCAAGAGAAGGAACATCAAAAACAGCATTATAACATTAACTAGTTAGTACAGTGGCGACCAGAGAACCTTTAGTTTTAATCATGTTGAAATATATTATTACCAAAATAAAATTTTAAAAGATCTAATTGGAATAAGGCTTCTTTTTTTAAAGTTTCTATTTTAATCAATAAAATATAATTTTATTTTTCAATCTCACCTAAATCCTAATTTTTCTTATTCTCAAATTACAATACTATTATTATAATAGTATTACAAATAGCTAATCATTTTGTACACTCAAAAACAGTTATAAATTTTAAATAATGAGATAGCCATATTATAAGTGAAAACACAGACACACACAAACACACACACCCAAAACTCCACTAACAGTCAACTTTGAAAAATAAATGAGTAATTCTTTCAGTGACAAAATTGAGTTGTTTTGTTATTATGATAATTTTTGCCAAATAAGTTTCCAAGGAAACGTATTAAAACTATACCACAGAAAACAAATGTTGAGTTAGTGACTTTCTACTCATTCTTTTCCTTTGACTTTCAATTCATAGGATTATAGGCATTAATACAAAAGTAAATACAGTTATATCTTTTTTCACTACAGCCATTAGGTTTGTAGGTCCAAATCCTGCAATGTGTTTAGAAATCATCCACATGTGACAGATGTCAGTGAGATAATCTAAGAAGATGTATCCGAAGAATTACTACAATGTGCCAGAAAAGTATCTGATATACAGCCACTTTTACACAAGGTTCTTATTCTGAAGAAAAACAATTAACTCCTATAATCTAGGATTGCCTTATATTTTCAATGTAAAAAAAAAATGAATTATTTCTAACACAGACCTAAATATCTTAAATATTAATGCTTTATTTTCTGTAATACTAGGATTTTTTATAGAGAAATTAAAGATTATTTCCATACACAGACTATACCTACAAAAGTCATCAAAAGTGGAAGAAATTTATCCAATTTTTTGTTTTTGTTTTTTTTTAGGTGAGGCAACCCTTGGTTGACCTCACAGATTGCAAGGACCTTGTCAAGTTTACGATCTCTTATTTTTTTTATTTTTTTTACACCTACAGCACCTAGTCTTCCTAGGTGGTCTCCCATCCAAGTCCTACCAGGCCCGACCCTGCTTAGCTTCCAAGATCAGACAGGATTGGGCTGGGTAGTTCAGGGTAGCAGGCCATAGACTATCCAATGCTTTTTAATGAGGAAAATTCTATTGATTACTAGCTTTAAGGTTACAAAATATCCAATTCTATTTTTTAATCAAGCATTTTGTTATTCATGCTTTTTATTAATACTTAAAAATGTTACCTAATTCAAATATACAAATATTCACTGATAGTCACTAGGAACTAATAAAAGCAAACACTTTTTTGAAAGTAACTATTAGTTATAATTTTCAAGCATGAAAGGTCTGAAGAGGGTTTATAATAACGCAACTGAAAAGGAAATTTGGTTGTTACTATGGCGTGAAATACAAAGATAAGAAGCCAATCAAATTTTCAATAAAATGTCTCCGAAATTAATGATCAAAACTACTTTCAAATAAATCTGTGAATATAGATCTGATTTATAAAAATGAATAGATATAATTTCTATAGAGTAAACTATTTTAAGATTTAATATAATAATCTTGATACACAATTTATTTTGTACCAAGAATATGAAGTAAAGAGATTCAGAAAGTCCAGAATAGTGCCTAGACTTCTGTGTATTTCTAAAATTTCATGGACAATTCTGATCTGCAATTTCAATTAAGAAACACTAGCCTAGAAAATGCTAGATTCAAATTAAAGAAGTAAGGGTGTGGCCGATGTTTCACTAATGCTGAAACGATAACGGGATGACTGATACAATATACTGCTGATGCTTAATGTCATGAATAAAAAGTACCACCAGGACTTTGATGCAGGAAAACTCTCCACAACAATGTTCTGCATAGGGTCAAGCTTAAAACAAATCAAATGTCCAGTATATAAAGAAATGAATTAGGTAAAAAGAATATTGAGAATGGATATTTGTTGAGAGTGATAAAAATGTTTAAGACTGGTCATTCACTGGGAGAGAACAGTTTTAGTTGATGAGAGAAACAGTAATTAGAACAAGTTATGTGTCTGGATGATAAAAGAAAACAATAGATTAGATTTAGAAAAGAAAAAGAATATATTTCATTTTTTATATCAGTCAAAAACTATACCGTAAAGACAGGTTTAAGAACTTACATACGGAAGACAAGTTTGGTGATGTATTTGAAGAGATGAACCTTCACACACACACACACAAACACACACACACTCACCATATTATGTCCTTTAATATTTATATATTTTTATTTAATATAGTCCGTGCACTTGCATCTTTTCATTGGAAAGGTGATAAAGACAATGCTACTCATTTTATAAATATAATATAAAAGGAGCTAACCTCTTTAAATTCAATTAAAAGATTTCCATTATTGATTTCTTTAGTAATAATAACATAAAATATTCTTAAAAGCAAAGGCCATGAGTCTATCATTAAATAAAAATCTGGTATTCAAATTAACAATTTTCTCTGCTTATTCTTATTTAAGCAAAATACAAAAAATCTTAGGTTAAGATTTAAATTTCATATCTAAATTCTAATTAATTATGAGGACACACTTATTCCTTCAGAGGTATAAAATTGATTTTCAATACCAGTTCTTTGAAGGGGAATTTTTATGTGCTTTACATTTGAGGGGAAAAAAAAAAAAAGAAGCCTCATTGATGTTCCTTGCTAATGACTAATGAATACTTGGCATTTTCTCTCCTACGAAAGGATGTAATCTAAAAATAGCACTGAGACCTAAAGAAAATTGATAGAAACTTACTCATAGCTGACATGAGCTTCACAAACTTAAAAGATTTTAAACCAACTGGCCAAGTTTCATTTTCATATACTTCCTAATTTTCATGTCATGATCTATTTTCTCTCCTTCAATTTTATCTAAGTAATGACAGAATGCTGATTGGGAAGAGCTGAAAAAAATCTTATAAAGCTTCTTTACTCTCTAAGTGAGCACAGATATTATAAGTTTTCATACTTTAACCTCCTTTTCTAGAAAGTAAAATCATCATCTTAATATAAATCTCTCATCACCAGGATGCTGAGATTTTTATTTCCATCATCACCAGTGTTAAGAAACAAAAGCAGATGAATATGATATTTTATTAGTCCTGACTCCAATAGATCAGATCTATTCAAAAAGCTTCCCTAAACAGAATCCTTTACTTATAAATTTTTCACTCACTCATAGAGTTATAAAGAAAAAGGTACTAGGTATTGTGGGCAACAGGAGATAAGAACTACAAAGGGAAAAATTCTCAAAGATTCAATTAGATGTAAGGAAATCTATGATTTATGAAATGAAAAAGAATATTATTATTTTAAGAAGCTATTAGTGTGAAGTTTTTTTTTTTTTCTGATCACAGACTCCTTTAAGAAAGCCACTCAAGTATTCAGTACTGAAAAACTGCAGTTAACACACAAAATTTTTACACAGTTTCAGGGGATTCATAAATTCCCCCAAACCCATGGACTCTCAGATTAAGGACACTTATAATTGTAAAAGCTCTCTGATCTATCTCAAAAGATGACTTTATAAAAGCACTATGTTTAACAATCTTTTTTAATTCCAAAATACATCTATCAGCCTTTTTACTATAAAATCTTGAATAGTAAAGCATAATGTAACATTTAGCTATGTATAATGAAATAATTATAACTGTAAAAGTTATATATAACATGAAACAGAAATATATATTTTTTAAAATTACTATATCTAAATGACTAGTTTAAGTTATACATATCTTTTCAATTCATTCATCAATCACATGGAAGTCCTACGTAAAAATGTAGCATATTTGGGTATCATTGCTAAGTCTTCTAATTATCAGGGGAAAACATAGTATTTGATTAGTAAAGAAAAAGTTAAGAAATTTCTAATTTTGCAGATATACATTGTGCTGTAAATGCTACTTAAAGGGCCCAAATGACAAAATCATAATCAGCATTTTTCTTTAATTACACCACTAATGAAATACATCTGCAAAATATATCTCATTTCTCTATAATACATTTCAATAAATTCTCATTAGTAATGTGCTAAGTAGTAGTGGAATGAGCCAATATACCAGTTTCAATAGTCTTATTTTCAACGTATCATGAAAACCTGGAATTTATACTGAGTTTTGAAAATCCAAGTATGCAACAGATACCATTAAAATATTACCTCCAATCAGGAGTTACACAAATTTATGTATTTTTAAATATGATGGTCAGTAAATAGACAAATTATTAACTAAAGAATGTATTAAAAGCCATGTCTCTCAATCGTCTTATCATCTGTATTTGTATTAGAAATACCTTAAATATTGCTTTTTAGAATAATAAGCATATTGAATCTAACTTCATTTTCAGAGGTTTGTTTTTAAAAATGGAACTAATGATCATTAGGAATGGACCACTAAATCTAATGAAATGTATTTTCTCAAATCCATCTTAGTGTAAGCCAAGAATTAGTTAATAAGATTAGATTTAATAATGTTAACTTGAAATTTTTAAAGTGAATAATAAATATAACCTGCATTTTTATACACACAACATACCCAGTTTTGGTAATCCCAAAATGATTTTCAAGAATAAAAGCACTGAAACATTTCGAAGAGTTGAGAGATGTGGTTAAAGTGACGAAGCAATAAATCAAGTTTCAATTACCCATGACAGTAGATGGACATAACTATCACTTGGAATCTTGAGTATTGTATTCAGTTTCTCCAGATGAAATCTGGCTGAGCCGCTTGCTAGATCCCCACAATTTTCGAGAAAGCTGACCTGAACGCATCTGTTTAAAATAATCCAGAGAGGTGAAGAATAATTGTTATTAAGAAAAAAAAGGAGTAAGTAAAATTGATAAAGACATTAATTTTGTAGAATGCAGAAAAATAAGTTCAGTTAGCAGAATCAATAACATTTTAATGATTCTTGGTTAATAATAATTAAAGAAAGGCTTCTCTACAATGGCTGTCTTTCAGTTGAGAATGGTCTAATGCCAATATGCAAATTTTAAATTAAATGTCCCAGTTATGTCAAAGACTCCCTTATTTTATATATTAACAAAGATATATTTCACTTCATTTAAATAATATTTTCATATTATATTTAATTTAGCTAACATGACACATAGGTTTGGGGATTTTCTCCTCCAGTTTGCAGTACTATCAATGTCAATCACAAGGGTAAGAAGCAAGTAAAATAATGTTTGGATGAAAATAAGTGAATTTTTAAATATTTGATATAAAAAAGTTCAAAAAATAATATTTAACAATAGAATGATAAGAATTTAGAAAACAAGAATAGCATAAGCTCTTTGAAGGCCAGAATCACATTTGCCCACCGTTCAATCTGTACTGTCTAACCAGAAGTGAGGACAGAGGGCTGGAAGACTGAAAGAGATCCTGTCCTAGGCTCCTGGCCCCTTTAGAGTGAGCACGGCCGTGCCAACACCTTGATTTCCGATTTCTAACCTCTAAAACCATGAGACAATTTCTATTCTTTAAGTCACCAAAAAAAAAAAAAATTGTACTGTCTAGCACACTTCTCTGCATATAACAATTATGAACTGGATAGTAATTAAATCAGTGAAGAAATGTCTAAAAGTATACTTACACTTCTAAGTAAGGGGAAAGGAAACCCATGCAGGAAACATTTCTCAATCTAACTATATAATTTGTTGGAATTACTTTCCCAAGTCAATCTACTTTTAAATGGTGATTTGTCTGTCATCCTTTTTTAATGGTTACTTTTCTAGGGTATATTTATTGGAGCAATAAAAGATGAGCCTCATACAAAACACTGTGGCATGCTTGTTTTGCATTTTCATTTCCAGAAACATGTTTCCATTAATCTATATCACTTTACCATCTGACTTATAAATATGAATGTCATACTGACAGTATAATATAAAACTGATACATACATGTTTTAAAAATATACAATCAAGATTTTGATCTTTTAGACAAAAATAGATCTTAAAATAGAAACATTTTAACTATTGATCTATTTAATTCCTACGATCATATATAATTATATTTTAATTGTGTAAGATTCAAAGTATTCAATTAGATTATTTACTAAGGTAGATCTGATAGTTGGCTGATATATCTAAAACTGTAAAATAGATAAAAAATACTTTTATTTAAAATCTATGCACAATTCAGATTTTATGTGTTGTAGACTACATAAATCTTTCAATGAGGACAAAAACTTATTTGGTAAATATAACATAACATTGATTTAGGCCTATGAAATGAAGCAGCTTAGTTGTTTTTTTCCCAATTTTTAAAAGAAAATATGTGCATGTATGGTCATTTCATTTTTAAAAATTCAGTACAATCAGAAGCTGAGAAATTAAAGTGAAGGGAGGGCAGGCAAATTTAAAAGGCACTTGACTAAATCACAGAAAGTGAAGCATACTCCAAGAGTAAAGTCTGAGTAGAGTTCTTAAGTAATCTCCATTAGCAAAAGACTGCAAGGCACTATTTATTTGGGAATTAATTTACTGTTGAATAGAAAAATCCTAAAATGTTTTAAATATAAGTGAGATACCAACATAAAGACTGTTAAATCTGAAAATAAATATTGTTTAATTTAATATGACCTCTCTTGTTTAAATAATATCCTGGAAAAGAGAATTACTAATGAAATCTTAAAACATTTATGAAATAGTTTCCTATGATCTGTGATAGATTTATTATAATCACTGACAGTGTTATTCAGCAATGTCTTCTCTTGAAAGAACTCCTACAGATGTCATACTTTAGATTTCCCAGAAAAGACTAATGGTGTCAATAAAAATTAATAATGCTTAATTTGATGCTATTTAACAATAAATTTTTTAGAAGAATGACCCAATTACTTGGAGTATAGCCACTAAGTTTTCTTAAGAACGGTGGTTAGATTTATGATATTTGGATATTCAGGAATTGATAAAACTATTGGAAAATAAATTTAGTAACTATAGAAAATTCGTTGAGAGTTGCCATATTATATGGGAGATATATGTAGTTTCAAGCAAAAATATATTTGTAGTTTCAGGTAAAAAAATGATGCTTTTACAAAAGGACAACTGACATACAGTCATGCGGAGTATTTGTTGAAATTAAAGTTAATTAGTTTTATACAGATTAGTATTACATGTTCTTGAACTTCATATAAATGGAATCATTCAGCATGTGCTGTTTTATGTCTGCCTTCTTTCACTCAGCATAATAATTTTTAAAATTTATGTTGTTACCTTTCAATAGTTTGTTCCTTTTATTATTGGGAAGTATTCCATTATACAATTATGCCAAATTTATTTATTTTCCTGTTGACAGACATTTGACGTATTTCCAATTTGAAATATTTCTAATATTAAAAAAATGTAAGTAGTTGTATTGTTCGAGTCTATATTTCATTTTATTTTAAAGCTTTTATGTACTAAAAATACAAGAAGTGGTCTTGACTCTACACTTGCAAAGAGAGACTAAAAGAACTTTCTATGTAGATGGAAACAGCCAAATGTGTGCTTTAAATTATACTATAATATAAACATCATTCTTGAATACTAACTTTAATCCCCTTTTTATTTATTGCCCTTTAAAAAATCAAATTTATTTATCCATCATAGATAATTCTTATTCAGTTGGAACAAAGAAGAACCAAAGGAATCCTCCCCAATATGGGAAATGAAAATTGTGACTAGGTTTTACCTCAGCTGGCTTGCCAACGCCCACTATAATCAATTTGCCGTCTTCTAATCCTACAAGGATATGGCTGTATTCTTTGGTTACACAAACACAGTGGATAGGCAATCGCATAGCTAATGGAGTGATGCTGAGATTCAAACTAGAGAGAAATTAAAAAAAAAACACACATATTATCACATGGATATATAATAGATTCGTAGAATTAATTTGTAGAATTAACTTAATGATAATGTAGTTCTACATTCTAATTTTACAAATGGTGGGATTTAAGTTCAGAAAGGCTGAGTGCCTCACACAAGGGCCCATATTTATAGTATTACTTAATATACTGAATAGCAACATCTGTTTTTCTTCTAGCCATATATATGAGCTCTTGCTAAATGACTTTTTTCTGGCTTTATTGAAATATTATAGATAATTAGTTGCTTGTATTTACATTGTACTAATCAATGGGTTTTTTTCAATTATATATTCATTTCAGTTGTAGTGATTAGAGATCTATATAACTCACAAAGTGATCACCCCGCTAAATCTAGTACCCCGCTTCCCCCTTACATATTACAACTTTGTTAACTATTTTCCTTATGCTATACTTTATATCTCTATGTCTATTTTGTAACTATCCATTTGTACTTCTTAATCTCTTTGCCTTTTTCCGCCATGCCTCCCTAAACCCCTCCCCGATCTAGTAGCCCTCAAAATATTCTCTGTATCTATGAGTTTATTCCTATTTCTGTTGTCGTTGTTGATTTTGTTCTTTAGATTCCACATGTACATGAAATCATGTGATATTTGTCTTTCTCTATCTGACTAATTTCATTCAGTGCAATATCTTCTAGGTCTATCAAGGTAATATCTTTTTCCATCCCTTCCTTTTCATCTGTGTGTGTCTGTTTTAATCTGAAGTGAGTCTCCTATAGGTAGCATGTGCAGTGGTCTTGTTTTCTTATCCATTCAGCCACTCTATCTTTTGGTTGGAGCACTTAATTCTTTTCCATTTGAGGTACTTGCTGATTGGAATGTAGTTATTACCATTCTTTATTCCTGTTTTTGATACATGGTTTTTCTTCTTAAAGAAGTCCCTGCAATATTTCCTGTAATACTGGCTTGGTGTTGATAAATTCCTTTAGCTTATTTTTGTCTGGGAAGCTCTTTATCTTGCCTTCGAGCCTTAGGTG